ACCGCCAGCCTTCTGGTTAGCAGTCAAGTGCCTTAGGCACTACATTTACAATAGCTACCATAAAAATAAAATGCTTGGGAATAAATCAAAGGAACACAAAAGATCTGTATACAGAAAACTACTTCAGGAAACCATAAGAGATCTATATAAATGGAAGTGGAAGAACATACCATGTTCATGGATAGGAAGAGTGAACATTGTGAAAATGTCAATATTACCCAAAGGAATCTGTGCATTCTGTGAAATCCCAATGTAGATCCCATCAACATTCTTTAAGGATATGGAAAAAACAGTCACTAATTTTATATGTTAAGGAAAGACACGTCTGATAAGCAAAGCACTGTTGAAGAAGAAAAATAAAGTAGGAGGTCTCACACTCCCACATCTCAAAACCTACTACACAGCCACCGTAGTCAAAACTGCCTGGTGTTGGTACAACAGACACATAAACCAGTGGAATAGAGTTGAGAATCCAGAAATAGATCCATCTGCCTATGGTCCACTGATCTTTGACAAAGGGCTGAAATCCGTTAAATGGGGAGGAGATAGTCTCTTTAATAAAGAGTGCTGGCTAAACTGGTTATCCATTTGCAGAAAAATGAAACAAGATCCTTACTTCATACCATACACAAAAACTAACTCCAAATGGATCAAAGACTTAAATGTAAAACCTGAAACTATAAAGTTCCTCAAGGAAAAACTAGGAGCAAATTTAGGAGCCCTAATTTATGGCATAGACTATCAAGCATAATCCAAAATGCTCAAAACACAGAAGATAAACTAGGCGATTGGGGCCTTCTAAAAATTAAATTCTTACGTGCTTCAAGAGACTTCTCCAAAAGAGAGATATATGCCCCCCAGGTTTCTTACAATTAGTGTTTGCATACTATATCTTTCCCCATTCTTTGACTCTTAACCTGCTTGTGTCTTTATGTTTACAGTACATTTCTTGTAAGCACCTCTAGAGAGTAGGGTCTGTTTTTGATACAGTCTGACATAGCTTTGTTCTTTGTGTTTTTGTCCATTACATTTAATGTAATTGTCGGTAGGGTTAAGTGGGAATGTATCATTCAGTTCTTCATTTTCTGTTTGTCCCATCTGCCTGCATTTCTTCTCTCTTTCTCTGCCTTTTGGATTCATTATATTTAATATTCCATTTTCAGATTATTAGCAATCCTTCATTTTGGCGGGTTTGTTCTGTTTCACTGATTTCTCTAGAGATTATGATGTGCATCTTTAACTTAAGACGTCCTGTTTTCATGTAATATTAGGCTATTTTTCATAAGTGGTAAGAATCCTACAGTACGATACACCCACTCCTTACTTACCAACATGGCTAGGTACAAAGACCAAGTCATTGTGTGAAAATTGATGTTAAGTGGAAATGGAAGATGACCACGTTTGATCCCAAAATGAAGAGTGATTCCATCATTACATAACTGGCAAACCAGCGAGAATCATGGCCTAGCCTAGTTGACGCGTAACTTCAGTTATCACAGCCATTGTTCCTTGCACCTTGGTGCTTGTAGCTGCCAGACGTACATCATTAATGCAGAAATAGTCAGTATATTTTTTACTATTGTAAATGTGAAATGTCTATTAACAAGATAGTTGGTAAGTAAGGGGTAAACATGGCCACATTCTCTCTTCATGTCCTTTGTTGTCATGTGGTTGATTTCTTTATGCATTACCAACCCCACAATGGGTGTGACTGATTTTGCTTTGAATAATCAGTTATTTCTTTAAATAAATTTTAAAATGAGAAAAAATATACATGTAAATGTAAAGTATAAAAGAAAAACTTTATATTTAGTTACAGGTTGGCTGGGAGCTCTGGTAGCATAATGGCTAAGGCATGTTTATAAAATTATATGTACTTATATTTAAAACCCACCAGCCACTCCTCGGAAGGAAGGTTGGGCAATCCTACTTCTGTAGTGATACTGCTTCGGAAACCCAAGGAGGGGTTGCTGTGAGTCGGGGCCGACTCGATGGCAAATAACAACAACAATATTTAAAACAATGTTGTTTTAAATTTCGATTGTGTTCAATGCTAATGTCATCATTTATATCACTGAGAAATACACTCCAACTCTTCTGAACAAGAACATGTCCATTCTTGAAGACTAAGTTATTTAATTCTAAAACAATCTCCAAGGGTGTGAGTAAGAGGCACTATTACCCACTTAATAATCAAGCTACATGGTTAATTTGCCCCCTGGGAGAACTGAATTTAAAAGTGATTTAGTGACTCAGGCATGGGAGAGCTCTGGAAAAATGGCAGATTAATTAATTAAATCCTTAAAAGAAAAGGACAGAATGTTAAAGTTTAAATATTAAGTGTTTAAATAGTTTACAGGGTGCCTCGGCCTTTTGCTCACTTGATGCTAAGCGATTTCACATTTCTTGTCTTCTGAAAATTGAACATGTTAATACAGCAGAGAAGAGAGTAACACAACAAAAACAATAACTATAATCATAAAGTGTACACAGTATATACTATATGCCAAGCATTGTAAATATTTTCCTTATATTAATAACTTATGAAGCACCATAGTGGCAGATTCATTTTCAGGTTCAAGGATTCCCCTACAGCATTACTTATCAGTGATTATAGAAGGTGACTGTTCCACTGATAGATACATTTTTCTGTTTACTCAGAAAATACTACTGAAACTTCTGTTACATGCCTTTGAATTTTTTTTTTCCCAAAAGGTGCAAAGCATCAAATCTACAATTCCAGACATTCTTTTAACCTCACATTCTGGTGATGTAGTTGATAAGGCATTTTGGCTGCTAACCAGAAGACCAGCAGTTCAAACCCACCAGCTGCTCTGCAGAAAGAGGTTGGTGCAATCTACATCAGTAACGATTTACAGCCTCAGCTACCCAATGAGGTTTGCTATGAGTTGGAATCAACTCGATGGCAATGAATTTGGCTTTTTGGTTTGGTTACCCATCACTTATCAACCACCTCACTACACAACACTTCACATTTATGACAACAGTAAAAAAATCTAATTTCCAACTATTTTTCACATTATCTACTGATGTATGTCTGTCAGTAACAAACATTGAGGTGCTATGTGAGTGTAACACTGGCTGTGATAGTTAAAGTCATGCATCATCTTGGCTGGGCTATAATTCTCAGTGGTTTGGCAATTAATGATGATAATATGTAGTCATCTTCTATTTTGTATCTGATGTGATCATCCTCCATTTTCACATAAGGACCTTGTTGTTGTTGTTGTTGTTATGTGCTGTCGAGTCAGATCTGACTCATAGCGACCCCTCCTTGGGTTGCCGAGGCAGTATCACTACGGAAGTAGATTGCCCAACCTTCCTTCCGAGG